ATATTTACCAGTAATATTGTCAATTTATATATATATATATATATATATATATATTAACATAATCATGTAGACCTGATTGTGTTAATCACAGATAGACAGACAAACTGGTATCAGACATGATGAGCGATTGATAGATAATTATATAGATAGATATATAGATAACGAACAAGATGGGAAATGTCTATAGATAGATAGATAGATAGATAGATAGATAGATAGATAGATAGATGAGAAATGAATAACCTGAGATAGTTACATATGTAGAATACGAAACAGGTATCTATGATATAATATGTACATGAGAAGACATAAATGGTTAAATTTGGAACCCTTATCGCTGCGCTTATCTTACACTAAAGACGACGAATGACTGGATTGGCTGAAAGATAATCGCAGGTAAACGAGAGACTGCATTATTACTTTTTCATGTAGACAATATACGGGAGCAGATATGAAAATTACGGAAGGCATAAGGAGTCATAAACAAAGAGATATTGAGAAAGAGGAGACACACACACACACACACACACACACACATATATATATATATATATATATATATATATATATATATATACTAGCATAATCATGTAGACCTGATTATGTTAATCACAGTTGGATTGACAAACTGGTATCAAACACGATGAAAGATAGATAGAAAGATAGGAATCAAGATCTGTAGATAGATAGAGAGGTGAGGAGAAACAAAAAGGTCTGAAGACCGACTGATATGTATATATATATGAATTACTATAGATAGATAGGAAGTAAAGGCTAGTGATAGGTAGCTAACTAGAAAGAAAGAAAGAAAGAAAGGACTAGTGGTAGATAGATAGATAGATAGATAGATAGATAGGGAGTGGAAACAAGGACTGCAAACTGATTGATATGAATTACTATAGATAGATAAGAAGCAAACCCGCTGATAGGTAGCTAGCTAGATAGAAAGAGGAAAGGTAGAACTAGAGATAGATAGATAGATAGATAGATAGATAGATAGATAGATAGATAATGCTTTTACCATCGAGCTTATATCAGTTGAAGCTCTTCAAATACCACTAATGAGCTGGTATTGTCACTCAGTAGCTAGTATTTACTTATCCTTCCATTTCGATCTGGGCACTCAATCAAAAATAAGCGAGACGTTCGTAAAATAAATAAATAATATGATTTATTGTTGGCGTCTTTCCGTCGAGATGTGTTTGTTGGGCACTCTAGAAATGTCTTCGGAAGTCTATATATTTCTGGAATATTCCAGAACCAATTTCTCCATGTCTAAAGATTCTGAAGACGCATGATAAATGTTTGGAGATTTGGACGAATATTTACGGACCGTTATAAGGAATGGTGAATGCCAACGTCTGTGGTTCTTCCAAAACAGGTAATTTGTTTTGAATTTAGATAGGTTGATCTTTACAAAGACATTTATAATTCTGCTTCGCCGTGCTACCTTCATGACTGATTTTTAAAGCAAGCAATTAAGGACTTTTCTTTTTTTGGAGTTAAGTTGGCTTAGTAAGGCACAAGGCAAGAATTAGTGATAGATAAGAGACTAACCCGTCGAAACACACGCACACAGATTCATGAGAGATGATTTTTATTTTATATCTCCAATCCTGTAACCAGAATTTAGTTTATTGTAAAATGCTCACCTTCTACAATACTCAAGAGCCGCTACAGGTAGAGTAAGAGGTAAACGGGACTGTTTATTGTGATATGTGAGGAAGATAACGGTTGACACTGGACATGAACTGGGTAAAATTATAGCAATCGAGGAAGCATTCTGTTGGGAGTCATTTCTACAAAGTAGCAGTTCGTGTGAAGATGTTCGAGTAGAGTTTACATCTCTCTTATGGAATACAAAGGGAAAAAAAGAGCTTTACTGAAATGTACGTGGCATGGTAGGGCTTTACAGAGAAGGTAAGGATTGGTGGAACTAAGGTATGGAGTTACTCTGACCACTTTACATGGAAATAGCGTTAGAATAGATAGACTTTAGAGCAAGCGTCCTGGGTATGACGATAAACTACATCCGCGTCCTGGGTAAGACGATAAACTACATACGCGTCCTGGGTAAGACGATAAACTACATCCGCGTTCTGGGTATGTCGATAAACTACATCCGCGTCCTGGGTAAGACGATAAACTACATCCGCGTTCTGGGTAAGACGATAAACTACATCCGCGTTCTGGGTATGTCGATAAACTACATCCGCGTCCTGGGTATGACGATAAACTACATACGCGTCCTGGGTAAGACGATAAACTACATCCGCGTCCTGGGTATGACGATAAACTACATACGCGTCCTGGGTAAGACGATAAACTACATACGCGTTCTGGGTATGACGATAAACTACATCCGCGTCCTGGTTAAGACGATAAACTAAATCCGCGTCCTGGGTATGACGATAAACTACATACGCGTCCTGTGTATGACGTTAAACTACATCCGCGTCCTGGGTAAGACGTTAAACTACGTCCAGCAGCAAGGCCTCTGATCAGGAGGTTTTGTGAAGCGTGCAACCACCTCTTAATTGCTGGTATTTCCAGGTCCACCCTGACCTGGGCTGGTAGCACCTGTTAGGGTCCCAGCTATGGGCAAATAGTTAACCACGAAACTGAGGTAAAAAGCATTATGAAAGTGTAGAAATAGGTTTTAATACCAGAAATACTTTGTAAAAATATTATTACCAGAAATAAATTTTTGAAGAAAAAGTTATTACCAACAATACACTTTTGAGGAAAAAATTATTACCAGAAACAGATTTTTGACAAAACAAAATATTACCAGGAAAAAAAAGTTACCGGCATTAAATAACCCATTGAAGGTGATATGCCGTAAAACACAACAAACCAATCCAAACTTTAGATGACAATATTAGAGCAACACATACACGCGACTCTGGCTCTTTTGGGTCGCCGAGGTAAATCACTGCTACAGATTTCAATATCAGGCCACAGCAGTGGTGCACCAAAAACTTGGTGTGTTGAGTGAAAAAGGAAATGAGACATCCGGAAGAGGCATGGCACGTAGAACTAGAACGATCTACCGAGGTGGACGAAAGAAAGAGTTCAGTTCGAAATTCCAATTACCTGAAGAAGGCCGGAGCGTATAGCGGCCGAAATGTTTAGAATATGGCAATGAAGATGAGGATAAAAGTCTGAATAATGTAAATAATGCTGCAATCAATTGTTTCCAGAGCCAAGAAATGGCTTATAAATTTTAAAGTTTTCAATGAAAACCAGCTCTCATTTAAACATCATAGAGAAAAAATTCTGCTTTCCTTCAGCATCATTGAAGCTAAATCCCGAAAGTATTACTCAACGACGTCTTGACTGCACTTTTTCTATTGAAATGATGTAGAACGACTCTACTGGATAAATTGCTACATCTGCTACAAAAGTGGGTTGGTTTACTATATATATATATATATATATATATATATATATATATATATATATATATATGTATGTATTCGTATGAAAGAAGTGTTAGACTTCCTTGAGAATGTAATAAAGAAAAGCGAGAAGAAAGGAATAATCCTCGATTGTCTGAAGACCAAAAGATTCATTAGCAGAAATGGGAACATTGTCAGAGGTAAATTAAGATCAGTCAAGTGCAAAAACTGGGAAGTGTTTTAGCAGATGCCGGAAAACGTGACATCGAAATCTCCAGACCCCTTAGAATAACGAAAAGCTTGCATTCAAAATCCAAAAAGAGCATTAAAAAACAGGAAAATTGATGTGGAAGCAAAGTCATATAGAGCTGAAGTCTTATATGATATCAGTCCTTTTAGATGACAGTGAATTCTGGATAATCTGATTTCAGATGACGGGAATTAGGGCAACAGAAATATATTTGGCTCTACAGAAGGATGTAGAGAATACCATGGATTGAATATGTGAGTGATGGCGACGTTTTGGAAATGGTTCTGTGTGTATTAAAATATCTTTTAAAATATAACTTCTTATCTATGTAAGAAAAAGAATACACAAATGATATATATATATATATATGTGTGTGTGTGTGTATGTGAGTGTGTGCGCGCGTGTGTGTGTGCGTGAGTGTGTATATGTGTGCTTGTGTTTGTGTGTATATGTGTGTATGTGTACAACTGTGTTTACTAATTCCTTTTAGTGAAGCAGTGTGTATGTATGGAGAGGGAATAAATATACACATATATACAAGCATGCTGACAAAAAACACACGAAAATGAAAATAGATTTAAGAACACACAGGGGTCATTAAAAGCTAAGAATGCCAATAACTACTTCACCAATTTTCGGACCAATCTTAATTGTTCTATAACCCTTCACGCAGAACATTTCACTGCCAGTTCAAGGAAGACATTTGGGTCACTAACACAAAAAAAATTGTGGAAATAACTAAAAGAAATGAACAGAACGAAAGGAAGGCGAGGTAGATATTAATTTGTTGAGTGAAAATCCAAATATCAACGAATATATATACAGAGAAACCTCTGTTTACGAACGTCTCACATGTCGAACAAATCGTTTTTTTTTAACAATAAATTCGAGATGGAAATACCTTGGTAATTGAATAATATAGCCGAACCGAGTTAACCCGAACGGAATAATTTCTAAGTCGACCGCTATGTTAAATAGATTCTTGTGTTGTGTCGTGCGTTTCTTTTCTAATTTTATTGTACTGTGACATTTTTTTTCTCTACATTGATTCCTATTGGAAAAATAGTTTTGGTTTACGAACATTTCGGATTACGAACGACTTTCAGGAAGGAATTAAATTCATGAACCGATGTTGCACTGTATATAAAAAAGAGGAAATGCCATCAAAGAATTGAGTAAAAGAAGAACGGAATATCTAGAAAGAAGTGACCGAAAGAAGAAGGGAAAGAAAGAAACTAGGAAAGAAAGACAGAACGAAAGAAATAAGGAATTATGTCTGAAGAAGTGAATGCAAAGGAATAAGTGAAAGAAACCAAATCCAACAAATGAAACGAAAATGAAAATATTCTTCAACCGGACATGAGAGAAAGAGAAGGAGAAAGATAGAAAGAAAGAGAGAGAAAGAGAGATTTGGAAAGATAAGTGAATGAAAAGTAATGAGATATGGAAGCAGGGAATAGAGAGGAAGCGAATGCGTTTTTCAATCGGACAAAAGGCAGTGATAGAGAATGAAGAAAGGAAGAGAAAAATATTTTGAATGAGAAATCAATGAAATAAATGAGATGTGAAAGGAAAGATAATAGTGACGAAACGAAACTGTTTTTCATCCAGAAAAAGAAACGAGAGAGAGAGAGAGAGATTTCGAAAGAGAAATTAATTAAAAGGAATGTGATATGAAGACAGAAAACAGATAAAGAGAGTGAAATTGTACTTCAACCAGACAAATAGAGAGAGAGAGAGAGAAACCGTACTTCAACTGGATAAAGAAAGAGAGAGAGAGAGAGAATAAAGATTTTGAAAGAGTGAGAATTGTTCTTTGTACTTCAACCGGACAAAGAAAGAGAGCGAAATTTTACTTCAACTGGACAAAGAGAGAGAGAGAGAAAGAAAGAGAGAGAGAGAGAGATATATAAATTGTACTTCAACCAGACGAAGAGAGAGCGAAACTGTACATCAACCAGACAAAGAGAGAGCGAAATTGTACTTCAACCAGACAAAGAGAGGGAGAGAGAGAGAGAGAGAGAGAGAAAATTGTACTTCAACCGGACGAAGAGAGTGAGAGAAAGCGAAACTGAATTCAACCAGACAAAGAGAGGGAGAGAGAGAGACAGCGAAATTGTACTTCAACCGGACAAATACGAGATAGAGTGGACGAGAGAGAAATTTCGTATGAGACATAAAACATATATATATATATATATATATATATATATATATATATATATATATATATATATTATTTCTGTTTATACCTTGTTTTTATCTATACAAATGTTTAAGTAAATGCTCTGTTTGTAATAAACTGTAGTAACAACATTTACCAGCCTGAATGTCCTAGAAATTTCATAGAAAATATGTATCCCCCGAGAGGAATCGAACCAGTATCTATACATGGAATCGTCATATAGGCTTATTTATTTATCATAAATAGAGCATTTACTTAACAAGTTATACCTATAAAAATAACGTATAAACAGAAAATATATTAAATTGTCGGACTTAGTCCATTTCATAACATATGATGCCATTTGTTCATGTTAAGATACGCTTTGAGCAGATATGAACGTCATCGGAAATTTGTAGTTTAAAAACAGTAATTTGACATTGCTAACCAGACGCTTCTTCTGTAGCTAAATAGTATAGCACGTCAAGCTGTATGACAGTTCCGTGTACGTACAGGTTCGATTCCTACACGGGAACGTCATATAGCCTGAAGGGCTATACTATTTACTTATTATAAACAGGGTATTTATTTAAAACTGTTTATATAAACAGAAAATATATTAAAATAATTTTCGGATTTAGTACATTTCCTATATATATATATATATATATATATATATATATATATATAACAATGAATAATTCATGCAAAATATAGATTAGTAAACTTAATGATTTAAAATGGCGAAATCCCTTCGCTAAGAAAAATTTAAAGGTGCATTAACCAACAAATTACTAGATGAATGTTATGATCCTTGTTTTTAAAAATTATGAGCTGTTTTAGTTCTTTCTTTAATACGTAAGTACTATCAACTGTACATTCAGTCATCTTAAGGCATGGAAATTATTTTGTTTTTAGTAAAATTCAGGTAGCATCCGAGACGAATAAATATAATATAAATTGTACTGCACCACATATTTGATTTAAAAGAACTGATCCGACGTGCAAATTACTCTGTTGAACAATTTAGCTCATAACACATTGACTGTTAAACTCTTACAACAAAAAAAATCTCCAAATTGCCATATTAGTAAAAAACGCACTCTCTTAAATTTTCAAAAAAATTCAGCCTCAGAGTTGCGACTGCACGTTCCAAAAGATTCTATACGTTAACAATAACACATTAAAAAAAAAAATAAACATATTTCGATTCGCCTTATATTTTTTCGTCTCGGATGCTACCTGAATTTTACCAAAAACAAAATAATTTCCATGCCTGAAGATGACTGAATGTACAGTCAAAAGTATTTGCCTATTAAAGAAAGAACTTATACAACCCATAGGCCCCTTATCAAAATGATCGCGCCAGCCGTTTCCATAGTAATTAAATTTGCAAATGAATATGCTTATAAAGATGCGTAAATTTCAAGATTGTTTATCCATGAATTTTCGCTTGAGGATGAAAGAGGGCTTGATAATTTGATTCAATTTAATTTTAATAATTATATTGAGGGTATCAGCTCTCGTTTTTGAAACATGAGAACTCTTATGTAGCCAAGGAATCATAAAAAATAATTATACTTTAATTATACTTTAAGCTCTACTTCTCTATGGAGCACTGTTTTTTGGGTGTTTTTTTTTTAAATAAAAACAAAAATACTAAAGAACTCCGGATTATTTACCTAACGTGTTCTTTCCTATTTTTCTGCATAACTATATATATATATATATATATATATATATATATATATATATATATATATGTGTGTGTGTGTGTGTGTGTGTGTGTGTGTGTGTGTGTGTGAAAATGTTTATAAAAAGGAAATGACTGTTTAGGTAAATAATCCAAAAGTTCTTCAGTATTTTTGTTATTATTTAAAAAAAAAAAGTGCTTGATACAAAAGTAGAGCCTGAATATAATTATTTATTAAAAAATATGATTCCATCGCTACATAAGAGTTCTCATGTTTTAAAACGAGAGCCGAAAACTTAAATCTACATAGACATTTAACCAGTCTAGACGATGTCATCTTCCGCTTTGAATTTAGACACCCCAACCTTACCCTGACTTGACCTCTTTGAATATAACTGAGATATTGATACAAATTATTAACCTTTACGCCCTTTTTTTTAAAAAAATAATTACTCTAGCCGTTACCATTGTAATGAATATGCTTATAAAACGCTTAAATTTCAATAACTAGTTATTCCCAAAAAATCGCTTGAAGATGGAACAGAGCTTGGCACTTTAATTCAATTTAATTCAAATAATTATATTGAAGTTTTCGGCCCCTGTTTTGAAACATGAGAACGCTTGTGTAACGACGGAAACATATTTTTAAATAAATAATTATATATATATATATATATATATATATATGAAAGAAAAATACAGAAAAAAACAAAATTCTGAATATGCATTATTAATGTTAAAATAAAGTCGACGTCGGACGTTTCGGTCTATTTAAGACCATCTTCATGGACATTTTCATTTAAACATAATTAACATTATAACTTATAACAATTTAACACAAAAGACGATGGACATAAGAGCCCAACTAATTCAGACAGATAACTGAAATTTTATACAGATCTGTTATAATAATGCATATTCAGAATTTTGTTTTTTTTTGTATTTTTCTTTCATACTGTCATATTTATATTCATATATTTGCATATATATATATATATATATATATATATATATATATATATATATATATATATATATATATATATAGATATATATATATATAGAAAAGAAATTTCGAATTTGAAATTATAAGAGATATGAAAGTCTAAAATAGAGAGGAAACCAACCTGCTTTTTAAACACGTGAGATAGAGAGAGAATGAGAGAGTGAGAAAGAGAGAAAGAGAAAATAAGAGAGAAGGATAAAAATTTTGAAGGTAAATGAATGAAAATGATTGCGATATGCAACCTGAAAATAGAGAGAACACGAAATTGTACTTCAAACAAGCAATATAAAGAGAGACAACGAGAGAACAATTCTAAAATAGAAAGAAAGATGATGAAATAGGATTTGGAAATGACGAATAATAAAAATGGACAATAAAGCAATGCAAGAAAAATTCAGGATTGGCCAAGAATAAGTGGAACTTGAAGGCGTGAAAAATGTACAGTGATTTGCACATTCCCGCGCACCGGAAGGCGGATGTGGTCGGGATGGGATGCGGGTAGAGTGGGTCAGTCTAGTGAGAAAAAAAATTGCCGTTCGTCGAGAGTAAAGTGATTACTCACTGAAGCCGTCAAAGTTAGAGACAAGATGAGTTGTATTTAGAAACGGCAGACTTGGAAGTGATTTACTGGAGTGTCGAGCTAAGGGAGCGAGACAGAGGGAAAGAAAAAGAAGGAAAGGGAAAGAAATAAAAGAAAGGGAAAAAATGACAGATAAAATGGGAGAAGGAAAGAAAGATAAAAGAGACAGAAAGGATAGAAAGAAAGAAAGTTTGTAACAATATAAATGAGGACAGACAGAAAGAAAAAAAATGAAAAAAGAATTGGAAAAAAGAAAGTAAAACAAAGAATCAAGACAAGAACGGCACAACGAAAAGAAAGAAAGAAAGAAAGAAAAAAAAAAGAAAGAAAGAAAGAAAAAAAAAAGAAACAAACAAACAAAAGGAAGAAAAAAAAAAAAGAAAGAAAGAAAAAAGAAAAAAAGAAAGAAAGAAAAAAGAAAAATAAAAAAAAAAAAAAGAACGAAAGAAAAGAAAAAAAGAAAGAACGGACGAAAAATAAGAAAGAATGAAACAAAAATAAAAAATAAAGAAAGAATGAACGAAAGAAAGAAGAAATTGAAAATAACGAAATAAAAAAGAAAAGAACAAAAGAACAAAAGAAAGAAGAAAAATGAGTGAAAGGAAGAAAGAAAGAAAGAACTAAAGAAAAACTGAAATAAAGAAAAAAAAAAAAGAAAAAAAAAAAAAAAAAAAAGAAACGAAAGAAGAAAAATTTGAAAAAAAAAAAAAAAAAAAAAAAACGGAAGAAAGAAAGAAAAAAAAAATATAGAAATAAAAAAAAATAAAAGAAAGAAAAAAAAAAAAAACGACAAGAAAAAATATAGAATAAAAAAACCATATTTATAAACAATAAAGAAAAGAAAAAAGAAAAAAAATATCGAAAGATATAAAGAAGGAAAACTAAAGAAAGAAAAAAGAAAAAAAAAAGAAAGAAAAAGAAAGAAAAAAAAGAAACAACGAAAAAGGAAGAAAGGAAGAAGAAAAAGAAAGAAACAACGAAAGAAAGAAAGATGGAGAGAGGTATTGTGTGACAGAAAAAAACAAAATCCTCAAGGCAAGCTTTGTGTGTGAGGATGTTTGTGTGTGTGTTTTTCGCGTGTCTTGTTCTATTTCGGTCTATGAGTGTGTGTATGTTTTTTCTGTGTGAGTGATTTAATATGTGTGGCTCTATGAGTGTGCTTTTATGAGTGTTTGTGTTGTATGTGTGGTTCTGTGTCTTCTAAGTTGTGTATGTATGAAAGTTTATTTCATGTGCGTGCATCATTGTGTGGATGTGTTGATGTGAAGATGTACTAGCGCTGGTATGTGTGAGCTGTGTGTATTTGAGTGTCCGTATGATTGCGTGTGGGCGTGTGTTTCCGTTTGTGTGTATTTCTGTGTGGTTGTGCGTTTCTGTGTGTGTGTAGGAGTGTGTGCGTTTCTGTGTTTCTCTGTGTGTATAAGAGAGAAAGAGAATGAGTATGTGTGGATTTATCAATGAATGCCCGTGTATGAGCGTGTGGGAGATGTCTTCATGAGTGTGTGTTTGTTTCTCTGTGTGTTTATGTGTGTGCATCAGTTTGTGTGCTTATGTGTGTATACGGATGAGTGTATTTTTTGGTGGTGTTTGTGTGTGTGGCTGCGTATTTCAGTGTGAGTGTGCGTATTTATGTGTGTATAGACGAGTGTGTGTGTGTGTGTGCGTGCGTGCGTGCGTGCGTGCGCGCGTGTGTGTGTGTGTGTGTGTGTGTGTGTGTGTGTGTGTGTGTGTGTGTGTGTGTGTGTGTGATACTCGTAAAAACAGTGTCGCCCCGTAGATTAAATAAAGGTTTCTTTTCAGGATCCCCTGTAGGCTACCTAAATCGATATATAGAAAATAAATAAGACCTAAAAAAGAAATAATGGAAAATATTTCAATAAAAAATAAAATAAATATATACCATATATATATATATATATATATATATATATATATATATATATATATATATATATATATATATATTTAAAAAATATTTTATTATATGATTCCTTTTACTACGGCTTACCAACATTTTTCAGGTTATTTTTCAGGTAGATTATGATGAGTTAGCTGTACAAATCTTAAATATTAATCCATAACACATAGGAAAATAGTCGGATCCATGTCTTTTCCAAGGATATTTGCGCATAAATGAATATAATGAACACAACTGGAATTCCGACCCGAACGTCCAAACTTATACCTCCGAAGCGGTTACCCACTTAGCTACAGGACTTTAACTTCAATTATCTTACAGGAACCGAGGTTTCAAACGGACGTGACCGCAACCTTTCTTTAAAAAAAAATTGATCCAATTTCCTTTTTAAAATTGCGAACGAGCTTTCAAAAAAACTAACTGCTGCTGAACTAGGAAATCTACTTTTAAGCAAATTTTTAAAAGTAATAATTTGCATGAGGATACAAATTTAACCCTTTGAATTGAATTTTATATGACGGAAAATTTATATCTTTCTTTGAATTACCTTTAGAGGAGGCACGGTGGAGTAATGGATAGCGGCTTGGATTGAGGAATCGGAGAGCCGAGTTCGAATTCCAGTCGAATCCATTACATTCACTTACTTGAAAGTAAAGGTGTGAATCCTCTTCTATTCCTCCAGCTATGGGTAAATAGCAGGACAGACTGAGTTCTATAGAAATGGACATGGCAAAGGGTTCTAGGAGAAGGAAAACTCTGAATTCAAACCTGCTCTTAGAGGAAATTTAATTGTCTCTCTATAGCCTTGATTTTTGTTTCCATTTTCAATTCATGTCACGATAAAAAAACCCTTGATAAAAGAGCGAAGCATCAAGAATTCAAATTATTTGACGAGATTATGAACTACAAAATCAAAGTATTGGTGAGTTCAATCTCGACTGAAATGAAGATTTTGAAAAAAGATGATGTTGATGGGTCAAATATTCTAGCTGGATGATTTTTAAGGCGGTGCATTAGACATCTTAAATAATAAATCAAAATAAAATAAATCATTATTAACAATTGGTTCAATAATTATATTGTTGTGCGTGGATATGTAACATTTACAAATTGAATGAATATACGAAAATATAAATATAAAACCACTGTTCAAATAAAGCACAATGTCTTTGTATAAAAACATTGCTGCATATATATATATATATATATATATATATATATATAAATTCTTCCACAGACAGACTGTTTCGCTGTTTCACTACTCATCAGTGTGGCTAGATATCCGATTGACTCAAGCCGGGATCGAAACCTGATTTGGTATCAGCCAGAGATTTTTCACAGGTGGGATAAAGTTGAATTTAGACGTATTTATTCATGGACAAACACGCCAGTAAGCGGAGAGCTCGATTCGGCTTAACGAAGGGTCTTGCATCAGCAGCAGTAAAAGTCAAACTTTACAAACTGACTTTTCTCCCCGAGCATGTATATATTGTCATCCATAAACTGATTTGTTATCAGTCGGAGATTTTACCCCTGAGGCATTGGCGCACGGCAGGGATGGAGTTGAATTTAGGATTATTTATTTATAGACAAACACACCAGTAACCGGAGAAATCGATTCGTATATATATATATATATATATATATATATATATATATATTGGTTTGGTTTGGGTTGGGTTGTTTTGTTTTACGGCATATAAACCTTAACTTGGTTATTTAATGCCGGCAAAATTGTTATTGCTGTTAATGTGTTTTTCTTCAAAAATTTATATCTGTGAATATTTTTCCTTGAAGAAATCAATAGCTGGTCATATTTTTTTTTGAAAGAATGTATTGCTGTTTGTATTGCAGAATGTTTTTTAAAGTATTGCTGATAATAATTTTTCCTTCTAAAATTATTGCTGGTAATAATTTTTATTTATTACAATGTATTTCTGGTATTATAACATATTTTTACACAAGTATGGGTGTTAACTATTTGCCCATAGTTGGGAGCCTAACAGGTGCTACCACCACCGGTCAGGGTGGAACTGGGAACACCACCAATTAAGAGGTGGTTCCGCGCTCCTCAAAACCTCCTGATCAGAGGCCTTGCTGCTCGAAGTATTTTATCGTCTTACCCTGAATGCGGATGTATGTTTATCGTCATACCCATATATGGTCGTCTATATATATATATATATATATATATATATATATATATATATATATATATATATATATATATTATATGATTGGTGTATACGGAATAAATTCCAATAACCAACAATTACTATTCTTAAAAGAGTGCTCAATACAGAGTAGAGCAGATATAATTATTTATTTAAAAATTATAACATAAATATGTTATAAAATCACTACAAAAATAAAAATATTGTTTCAACACCTTAAAATTTTAAAATCTAAATTTAATTTCTATTAAGTTTAAGGGATTAAAATTATACATTTTGTCGGGAAGACCAATCGACATTAGCGTCTATTCTAACATAATTTCAATGAAGAAATAAATTGCATATCATATGTATTTTTTCTTTTCTCCTCAGTAATTTTATAATTTTAAAATTAATAGAGATTAAATTTAGATTTTATAATTGGTAATTTTTTACTTTTAATTTTAATATCAAATTTTAACATATAATTTAATACTTATTGGTTAGAATAAATTCTATTTTAGTATAACCCCAACTTTAAAACTCTTAATAGCTATTATAACCTTACTTCGTTGTCAAGATTTTTGAATTCTCCTATACTTGTGATTTGATTGGTCATTCTAGCTTTTGTAACAACGTTTTCGCCTTGCGAAGGATTGGTAATTAATTTGAAACTTTTAAAAACATCTATTTTACATTCAACACAATCACTTGATAAGACACCGGAGGTGTTGAAACAAAATGGCTATTTTTGTAGTGATTTTATATCATATTTATGTTATAATTTTTATATATATATATATATATATATATATATATATATATATATATATATATATATATATATATAGTGTGTGTGAAAAGTGTATATAAATATAAACAAATATATATATGTATAATTATTTATATATTATATGCGAAGTACTTATTAGAAAGCGCTCAATATCAGAGATAGAGCTAACATATTTGGTTGGATGTGTCATAGCCGAAACTGCCCACGTATGTTTATATATGTATGAGTCCCGACGGACGACCAAGTATGTATATATGTCTGCATACATCGATGTTTGCGTTAGTACGATGAATGACAAAACGACGAAATTTCCCCGCCCCACTTCCACAAATAACACCAATACACGCAATCTACATAAACCCAAATTTTTTAAAACATTAATCAGTTTGTCTGGCGATCGCTAAAGCGTGAAACCCAGGGTCACAAACTCACATCTATCCAACCAAATATATATATATATATATATATATATATATATAAAATTTGTGTACTGTATAATTTTGTATCTGTTTAAGTATTAAGAGTGTGACATATATGTCTTCCTTTGTTTTTACCGGAACTAAAGAGGCTGATTAATTTTTTTAAGCATTTATATATATTCCCCCTGCAAGATGTTCATGCCTCTAGTACGCAAGGGGCTACAGAGAGCGTTAGGGAAACGACTAGGTATAGGGGAAGTTGAGGAAAGGATAAAAAGAAGAACGGAGGAGAACAATAAGAAGGACGGGGATCAACGTAACAGAAGATGTCGATTGGCATCGCATTTA